GATGCTAATAAACGTACATTTAAAAGATATGAGGAATTTTAAAAGTTAGCAGTTGCTCAACACAACTACGTTGCAGTTGCTCAACACAACTAGACCCGAGTATTTATGATGCATGCTTACCTATACTTTTTCTTGTTTTTATATCAGATCAACAGAACTTACAAGCGACGAAAGAATGATAGGATGCATATGCAAAAGGTACGTTACTACTATCACATTAACCAGCATAAATTGAATGTTAACATGACCATAATATTGGCCTTTACAGTGAATGTTGAAATATACGATTACGCACCTGCAGTCCATTATGCGTTTTGCCGTTGTATAATATCTATCAATTATTTACTGAGACAGAGTGCAAGAGCGTGTTTCGTGGCGTCGGACACACATACAAAAACTCTTAAAATAAATTAACTGCTATTATTAACTGCTGTAAATTTGATGGTTAACGCGAGCAGCTCGCGCCTCACTTCCGGTTTTATTATTGGCCGGTCAATGATTGTTTCATTGTTGACCGGTCACCCTATCGCCAAAGCATACAGTGAACATAATGTTTTGTGGATCGGTATGTTATACGTTTTTCTAATCAGCAAACAGGTAAATTGAACTTTGACACTTAAGGTGAGATTTTTCCATGTTTTAATTTGTCTGCGGAATCGTTGATGACGCAATAGATATTTTTTCACTAAGATGCCATCCAAACGAAGACAGTAAATTGAATGGAGTAGATCGTTCTCCAACCTCGAAACACTAGAGCTGAGGTATAGGATATAGTTTCCCAATTAAAACGACAGGCTACCGAACGGCTACGAGACGAAATGACCGGCTATCTCTTCTTGTGTGCCGGACGTTGATTTTGTAAGTATTTATACAGTATCTTCATATTGCCTCTTAAACGTTACCAGGGGCCGGTTGTATAAAAAAGTGACTAAAGTTAATTATAATTAAGTGGAAACGTCATCCAATAAGAAGCGCTTATTTGAGAGTTAATCACTATTTAACTACAAAATAGTGACTAAAAAAGTGATTGAGAGTTTTATACAAGCTTATGATAAGGCTTGAAAGAGAATGGGGCTAGAGAAAGGCTAGGTACGTGTGGGTCAGGGAACCAATGGATTGTGATTTTTCTTTCTTTAACATTGAAACGCTTTCCAAGGCAAAATACAGGCCAAAACTTGTGAAGCTTAAGGAGCAGGGTTATGGAAGGAATATAGGCTGTGAGTCAGGGAACGAATGGATTGTGATTGTTCTTCGATCTTTAACGCTTGATATTAATTCAATATCATTCAATTTTGATGTATAGCAAGAGCTTGTGTTGCAAAATCAAAGTCAATGTGTGAGATGGTTAGTTCGAAATAGACAATCAATATTTCAATAAAGTAAACTGTTAGGACTTTGTATATATGTATTCTTTGTGGATTGCATTTCCGACGTCACCAGGCAAAGGCTGCATCAAATACTGTAGTCTTATTATCCGTGAGACTGTACATGGGATCAATCTATAAGAGCGGATTACACGGTAAATATATCTTATTGAATCGTTTGACATATAATCCAGGCGAGTATTTAACGAGTTTCGAACGTATTTTTCCTAGCCCTGAAAAGGCGAGGGAAAATGCGAGAAACGAGTTTACGAAACAGAGTATATTTAATAGGATTTTTTTTTAGAAATGAGTATATTTAATAGGATTTTTATTATATGACAAACCTGAAAAGAATAGTTTTCTATGTCTTGTTTGGAAGGATTTGAATGTAATTGACGTTGTAATTAAAAGGCAAATTATTTCAAACAAAACGAGAACAACAACAAAACAAGTTACGACTTGCATAATAAAATTAGGAACAACCGTTTACACTAACTTCGTCATTCTTTAATCTGATTGGATAAAATATTACAAATGCAAAAACCTGTCAATCACGTTTTTCAGTTTTCTTTTAACTACTTGTAAAAGACAAAGACAACAAACCTTTCAACAAGAAAGCTTCGGCTTTGTACGAGCCGACATTTTACGTCCAAACTATCCAATTGCTTCAAAAATGTTCAAGTAAGTTGTTATGCGGAATTGTTTTCGTTGAAAAACTAGTTTTGGGAATATATTTAGAAGGTCGAGTTTTCTGTTTTCTGTTTTACTCTTGCAGTTTTATAGCGTTATTTTTTTACTGTTTAAGTGTTCGTAACGTTTTACTCGAGTCAGGATTCGGCTTTTACGCAATGTTTTCCTGTAGTGTGTTTATTGCGTTTGACACAGTGGTTTGTCATAAAAAAAGTCGGAATTTTGCTTCGTCCTAATTAGGAAACCTTTTTAGGAAACCTTTTCTGTTATATTGCAAGCATTTGTTTCGATGAATCGCGCAATTTAATTGGCTGCTGAAGAGGCAGGACTTTCCCTTATTGCCCACGGGCAATACGCAATTTTGAATGGAATACGCAATTTTGAATGTTGAACTGGATGTTGAATGGTATTCCAAGTGATTCCTTTCGTATAAATAGTCATTTGTTCACAATAGTTCAAACGTATATTGCGAAACTAATAGATTATTTTTCTCATTAATTTAATCATTGCAAAATTGTGTTCCTCTTTATGTATGTTCATGCCTGTGTGTGTTTTTAGTCCTTCATGTATACAGCTATTTCAATTAAGGTTGTCCCCGAGCAAAGCGGAAAAGTCGAATACGAGCGCGTAAGGCTGCTGGGAATCGCTAATAAATTAATGAATTTATTAGCGATTCCCAGCAGCCTTTCGCGCTCGTATTCGACTTTTCGGATCCGCTTTGCTCGGGGGACAACCTTAATTGAACTGGCTGTATATCTCTTGTATATATACGTGTTTGTATATCTGTGTTACATGTGTAAGTTATATATTTGTATGTGTATAAGCATTTGAAAAATACATAATAGTTAGTTTTTAACGAACTGTTCTGTATTTTTTTTCTCCTATTCTCCTTTCTTTTTAAAAAATCTTGTATATCAAATTACATAAGTTTCCTCGATAAGCCCCTGCAGCTTTTGAAACAAATGTAAAGTTTATATATTGTTTAAAAAAGCACGCAATTTTTATTGCCCTGCGACGAGAGTCGAGTTTCAAACGGCAAAAAGTGTCTAAAAGCCTTTCAAAACTGATTCAAAACGAAGAAAAATAAACCTAAAATAAAAAAAGGAGCAACTTCTGTTGTTAAGGAACTTTCCCAATACGTTTTTGTTAGCGAAAGTCAAAATTACAAGGTATATTTTACAATGTTTATAACTATAAAAGCAGTCAGGAATACGGTTGTGTTTTGACTGTGTGAAGGCTGCAAATTTTATTTGCAGATAGCCATGCCAGGAGGAACTTGACACCGTCCTAACTAAAAAATACAACTAAGGCAGCCACAGACTTATAATTTTTCCCTGAAAATTTCTGTTTTTGTAGATAGAAAGAGACATAAATATGAGATGAAACGAACTAGAAACGTCCTTGTCGATGATGTTTATTAATTTTATTGTTTTCATATTTGTTGTCTTTGATTAAATGACGAAATACCTCGTATTTTTCTTGAAATAGGCCTACTATCCAAACTGTAATAAGTTCTTTGTATGTTTGTATGGCGATAAAACATATAATAGTTTTGTTTGTGGAAACACCACGTAAATTTATTACTGCAGTAATAAATTTACGTGGTGTTTCCACTGACAAACAAAACTATTATATCCAAACTGTGTTAGGATTCCATAAAAAGTGCTGAAAAGTAGTTTTACTAACCAAGAGAACATCTTTTTTACAATTGTCTTTTTGCAAATGTTTTGAGGACTTTGTACTTTGCCCTCGCGTGACTTTTCCCCCATTTTCTACAAACGCGCATTGCCATATAATAAAAAACTTACTGACCTCAACCGTTCGAGCAGTAACACAATTGCGTAATGTTAGACCGCGACTGTCGTTTTACCTATGTTTGTGTCATTAGAAAGGCAAGATATTCTAGGATTTTAGACTGTTTACAATTTTTACTGAATGCGAGAGATGTGTCGTAAACTCTGCGCAACTATAAGGAGTATAATGTATATTTTCATATTTTTGGGGGGAAATTTTGGTCATACCCGGAATGACTACCATTACCTCTAGCTACGCAACTGCGTACACAGAGGCCATTGCGAAACTTGGGGGTCCAGCATTGGCCGCGAAGAGAAGACGGCCTTTCCTCTAGGCGTTCAGGTAGATAATATCTGTTGTGGAACCCCTTAATATTGATCTTCTACATCAACAAAACTATAATTTTTCCAAGAAGATAGGCCAAAATGTACGATAACAATTTAGTTGGTATAGAATAGACTGAATGATGATTTATTACAAATGTCAATCACCGTTGTTACATGCTTCGAAGTTAATTATTAACTTATCGCATCCTACAAATACTACATTACTCTCCCTCTATTTTTTTAACTGAATGTCAACCACTTAATAAAATGTCCTTGCCTTGTGTTCATACTTATGTAAATCAATGTTGTCTGATGTTTCTCTAATTTAAACGTTTATATCGTTTTACTGTTTATAACATCAAGTCTGGTACTGATATGGTATTACCGGTCTTTTCATTCTTGTTGATCTCCTTACACTTGGTTCTTGCTTTGGTGGTTCCTCTGTTTCCGTCGATCTTCCCGGTGCTGTATCTTCCTGCTCCTCCTCGCTTTCCTCCATTACTACCTTCTTAAAGTGTGAAACGTTTCTTGTCACCGTCTTACCATCTCTTTTAGCTATGATGGTGTTGTGCTTACGTTGTACTAACGTATAATGTTCTGGGTCAAACTTTGATGTTAACTTATTGTTCTTCTTCTGTTTGCAAATGACGATGTCACCCTTGTGATCCCAGCTTCCTTTGTTCTTTTGTTTCTGTCGTAGTACTCTTTGTTCTCTTCGTTCTTGTGCTCCAAGTTCTGCTTCGCCATCTTGTGTCTATTAACTACTTTTTCTCTTGTGAGTTCTGGTAAATATCCCCGAATTTGTCTGTTAAAAAGTAGTTCACACGGAGCGACTTTAGTAGTTTGATGAGGAGTTGAACGGTATTGAAGTAGAAAACTTTGCAGTTCTTGCTTCCAATTCTTTCCTTCAATATCAGCTGTTTTGAAGAGTTTTCCAATTGGTTTCATAAATCTTTCTACGACGGCATTACCCTGAGGCCATAGTGGTCTAATTGTTTTCCATTCAATACCAAGGGTTTTAGTGTATGTTTCAAATTCTTTCCCATTTAATGGGGGTCCATTGTCAGTTTTTATTTTTGATGGTATTCCATATCTGGCAAATATCGTATCTAATTTTGGTATGCAAGTTTTTGCTTCTGTTGAGTTGACTATTTCTACCTCTGGGAATTTTGAGTAGGTATCGATAACCACTAGCAGGTATTGACCAGTTCGGGATACTGGACCATAGAAGTCGATTGCTACACTAGTCCATGGTTTGTCTTCGGTTGGTGTTATTTTCATTGGCTCCGGGTTATTACCGTGACCTACTGCTTGGCAAGGAATGCATTTGTCTACCATTTCTTTCACTCGTTTGTCCATATTTGGGTACCAGATCTTTTCGCGTAGTAGGCTTTTCGTTTTCTCAATTCCCTGATGCCCGATATGACCTAATTTTGTTGCTCTTTCTTGTAATGTTGTTGGAATGACCAACCGTGTGTTCTTCAACAGTATACCTGCTGATGCATTGTACGTAAGTTCGTCGGCGCAAAGTTTAAACGGTTTAAGATTAGGATCGTTCTCATCCCATTTTCCCTCTTTCAGACATTTCTTAACCTTTTGTATTACTGGATCGTTATGGGTTGCTTTTTTAATCTCGTCAAGTGTCATTGACTTTGGAACTGAACAGTTAGTTACATAGTTCACATATTCTTCTGCTGATGTACTCGTTATTTGTTCTCTCTCTATAACAGCTGGATGTCTACTTAAGTAGTCAGCTTCGTTTAAGGATCCTTTGCGGTAAATGACTTTGAAGTTGAATGGTTGTAATCGCATCATCCATCTCTCGATGCGGTCTAGTGGTCTGGATCTTGGGTTATTGAATATAGATTCGAATGCTTTATGATCAGTTATCACATCGAATTCTGATCCAATCAAGAACATTCGAAAATGCTCAATTCCCCATTCTAAGCTAAGTCCTTCAATATCGGTTTGAGAGTATCTTGTCTCAACTGGGCTGAGTGCTCTGCTTGCATATGAAAGGATTTTGTACTGCTGGCTGTGATATTCGTTCTGTGCTGGTATTACACTAATTCCATAAGGGAGCCATCTACGATTACTAGACTTCGTTTCTTTGTATCGAAATATGCCATAACTGGGGTACTTGTTAGTTTCTTTTTCAGTTGCTCAAATGATTTCTGATGTCTATTTTCCCACTTAAATGCAATGTTTTTCTTGGTTAGTTCTCTTAGAGGTGCTGTAATAGTTGCATAATCTGGAATGTATTCGTGGCAAGTGTTGGCCATTCCCAGAAAACTTCTAACCTCTCCAGCAGTTTTGGCAGCTGGTACTCCAACCATGTTCTCAATTCTCTCTGGATCTGGTTTGGTTCCTGCTGCTGTAAATTTTAATCTGAAGAACATAATTTCTTCTTGTAGAAATTCACATTTTTCCCCTTTCACTTTCAAGTTTAGTGCTGCTAGCCGTTTTAGACAGTTCTCTAGTGCTTCATCGTGTGACTTTCGGGTTTTACCATGAATAACCAGAAATACATGCATGCAATAACCCCTCGCCTGTTTTCAAAAGATATATACTCAGTTCCGTTGCGAGCACTTCGTCGCAGGGGGGGGGTTAGATAGAGGGGGGGGGGTTACCAAAAAGTTTCCAGATGTACAAAAATTTTTCAGGACATATAATAATTTTTCCGAAATTTAATACAGTTGTTTTCCAAATTCACTTTCTCAGTCATGTCCTGAGAATTACCTGAATTCCCCTGAAAATCTTCTGCAAATCTACTTAAATGTAGGTACTAAAAGTGCACTGGAAATCTACCTGAAATTCATCATGAGCAATAATCAGGGGTGTTGCACCCCCCCCCCCCCCCCCCAGTGAGTTCCAAGCAAACACTCTCTGATTTATTGTTCGTGTATTTCGATCACCTCCCAAAATATTGTGCATCATACTATAGAGCATTTTGCTGTTGTCATGCTCTAGCATGGTTCAAATTTATGAATTTTTATTATATAAAGTATAGTGTTTTGCAGAGTTTTCAAGCACTGACAAAAATGATAATCTCAGATGTGAAATTATTCATGATAATCTCACATGTAAAAATTTATCGCCTTTTCAATTATCGCTTTTCTGTAAACATTATCGCTTTTCATTTAAGACTGTCCTTTATATAATAAACAGAAAAATACATGGGTGGTTGGAAATACCAGATTTATTTTTTGTGTTGAACACGACATCTCACTCGTTCACTGCGCTCACTTGTTCGCTGCACACTCATGTTCAACACTCGAAATAAATCTGGTATTTCGTGCACCCATGTATTATTATCTATTTAAACTACAGCTAGACTGGTTTAAATTATTATCAATTTATCAGTGATTGTAAAAGTTGGAGATAGAAGTGTTTTGTTTTATAAAATTATCAAGTTGTCGGTGATCGCAAAACCTCCAAATCCTTAATTTCAAATGTTAGAATGTTAGGGTTTGTAATATATACATTTTAAGTGAGAATATATACATTTTAAGACCTAACCAGGAACGACTGCGAAAAATGCAGCATAAGGTCCTCTGGTAGGAATTGAACCTACGGCCCTGCGATTCCGGTGCAGCGCTCTAACCAACTGAGCTACAGAGGCCAGCTGTTGAGCTTTAACCGTAAGTGCATGTATATTTAAGTAATCGGGTGTGCGGGTTATGAAAAGGTGGACTTCAATAATTTGGATTCTTGCACTTCACTTGGTGGACTTAATATTAGAATGTTAGGGTTTGTAATCCAAGTGAGAAAAAATACATTTTAAGACCTAACCAGGAACGACTGCGAAAAATGCAGCACAAGGTCCTCTGGTAGGAATTGAATCTACTGCCCTGCGATTCCGGTGCAGCGCTCTAACCAACTGAGCTACAGAGGTCAGCTGTTGAGCTTTAACCGTAAGTTCATGTATATTTATGTAATCGGGTGTGTGGGTTATGATAAGGTGGACTTCAATAATTTGGATTCTTGCACTTCACTTGGTGGACTTAATTAATATTAGAATGTTAGGGTTTGTAATCCAAGTGAGAATATATACATTTTAAGACCTAACCAGGATCGACTGCGAAAAATGCAGCACAAGGTCCTCTGGTAGGAATTGAACCTACGGGCCTGCGATTCCGGTGCAGCGCTCTAACCAACTGAGCTACAGCTCGGCCAGCTGTTGAGCTTTAACCATAAGTTCATGTATATTTAGGTAATCGGGTGTGCGGGTTATGATAAGGTGGACTTCAATAATTTGGATTCTTGCACGAATCACTTGGTGGACTTAATATTAGAATGTTAGGGTTTGTAATCCAAGTGAGAATATATACATTTGCATATTCTCACTTGGATTACAAACTATTCTCATTTGGATTACAAAATATATACACCAAATATATACATGTACTATACCAGTACATTTGTATATTCTCACTTGGATTACAAAATATTCTCACTTGGATTACAAAATATATACATGTATATATTCTCACTTGGATTACAAACCCTAACATTCTAATATTAATTCCACAAGTGAAGTGCAAGAATCCAAATTATTAATTTCAAATGCCCCGCCGGGGCTAAGGTTCGAGTGGAAATGCCCAACCCCCGGGATGTGCTTTACAGAAAAATGGCTGGGCGAGGGGGATGGGCACACTTGGATTTGGCTGATGCATTAAAAGTCCTGTGCTTATTCCAGACTGCTTGTCAAATATTTACTTGCTAGAAGTAGAAATTTACTCTGACCGCTGGATGAAGAAGACATTAAATAAGTACTGTCTGTCTGTCAATAAACAGAAATGTATTTTATTTCATAGTATTACAATTTTATTTTTATACTATAAAAATAAAATATAAACATGCAGCATAGAATATGCAAATTCGAGGCAAAATTATTGTTGAATCGGTTTATTTATAGGATTTATAACAAATAGCAACTATAAAAGCTTGTACCTTGTCTTCACATCGTAATAGCCAATGCTTTTAATTTTACATATTTTAGAATCAGTTCCTTTCCTGGTAACTGCATTTCTAAATGAAATCATCGTGAGTAGTGAGTGCTGAGCAGGCTGTTTTACTATAAACAAATTTTAGGAATTTTAACAACTTTGAAAAATATATCGTTGCACATTCGGTCACAGTCGGAAAAATGTTCATAGTATGTTGTACCGTCGTTTGCAACTAACGATGAACAGTCGCTCATAAAAAACATTCGCGTGATTAGAATCTTCAATGTTTGTCAAGAACAACAACACTTAATTGTTGTTTCCCATGTGTGCAATAAAAATAAGTAACAAAACTTTGTCTGAACTTGTTGGGCTAGAGACCTACTGGAAACTTTTAATGAGAATAGAGAATGTTTTATCTGCAACTGTTCACCCTTAGTTGCCACCGACGGTATTTGATAACTGATATAAATAAAATACAATCTGGTTATACTGTCTTGAGCGTGTCATGACAAACTCTTTATTGGAAAATTGTGAAGAAATAGTCGAATATAGAGGGTCGAATATCATACTTAAACTTGTATAGCTACAGTATCATTGGTAGATAGCGTTGTGAATACAAGCCTTTGCTTTAATACCTTTCGCTTCAGCAGTCTTTTTTTTCCATGCTTCTCTACGCTTTCCCAGGCGAGCTTCTCTTTCCTCAGCAGTCTCCTCGAGCAAACGTTGTCGTCTTCGCTGGCTCCCTCCTTTTCGCGAGACGTTCGGCTTTCTTGTCGTTTCCTTGCCGCTCTTCATTTGGCTCCATACAGTAGTCCATATCTTTTCAATTGGTATTTGATACCATAATTGTTTTATTAAACTCTTTATAGAGCAAATTGCTTTGAAAGCTGTCAAAGTTTTTTGCAAACGTACAAAATACTGCAGTGCAAAAAGCAAATTATTTTCATGAAGTATCTGTCAGTTGAAGTCGTCAGTTCATCTCACAACAACAAATTTTAAATTTGACCAATCAGTGTTCGCTATTCACGACAGTCCGCTATATTTTGAGATCAGTGAGGATGACCACCCATGAACGGTGAACCATGCGCCCGCGATATTTGATGAACTTTAGACTCCGCTAATGCTTTCGTTTCCCCGGGTGTAAATAGCCGGGGGGAATTAGTACCCTCGCACGGCGCTTCGCGCCGCCGGCTCGGGGATAATATGATCCACCAGGTTTTTCAATCCTCTGTTATCGCTAAGGTTTTGTTGTAGCACATTTTGGAATATCTCGGCTGCACTGTTCGTACCATAATTTAATCTTTCATACTGGAACAGTCCTTCATGGGTAGAAAACGTTGTAATGAATCGATTGTCCGGGTGATATGCTTGCTTTATAGGTCAATCTTTGAGAAGAATTTTGCTCCATTTACCTCAGTTTTAAAATCTTGTAAAGTTGGCATTGTGTGTCTCTCTCTTTCGATTGCCTGGTTTGCTTCCCTCATGTCTACACATAGTCTAATACCTCCGTCTTTCTTTGGTGTGACGACTATTGGAGATATCCATAGTGTTGGTTGATTGCCAACTTTCTCGACGATGTCTTGCTCTTCTAGTTTCTTTAGTTCCTTAGAAACATCCTTTCTCACATGATATGGTATACGTATTTGCCGCTGCATAACTGGTTTGACAGCGTCTCGGATATGAAGTTTAATTCGTTGATTGTTCAATTTTCCTTGCCCCTTGAAAACTGTATATTTGTTTATGATTTCTTGTATTTTGGGGTCTTTTGATTGAGGAACACTTGTGTTGATTTCTGGATTGGTCTCGCATGCAGTGCTGTGTGTATTGTTTTGATTTGTCTTTGTTTGTTTATCTTGTTCAGAAAAAACGGAAATTGTATTAATTAGCTGGACCAAGGCCAAATCTTGGGCTGTTTTAGCACTTAATAAATTTCCTCCTGCACCGTCTATTACATATATTTGTGACACGGTATAACGCTTTTCCGATTCGAATGTTGCTTGAAATTGTCCGTTTAGAGGCAGAGGTGTGTGAAACCCATATGCGTAGATTTTAGTTGAACTTTTACGTAATGAACTTTTCCTCTTTAATTTCGCGCATGTGGTAGAATCAATGAGGTCAACAGTCGCGCCAGTGTCAACCAAAAATAAAACGTCCTGTCCATTTATTTTTACGGTCGTGTGTGTTTTCTCCCTCGTTTCTTGCGATACTGTGTAAACATAATTCTCTTCTTCCGAGCTTTCAGTATTTCGTTCGCTTTGTGATATTCCAACAGCCTTAGCTTGTTGTTTTTGTTGTTTATTCTCATCCCATCGTGATTACTATTGGCGCCTTTTATCTGGGGAGGAAAAACCTTGCGTTTGTAATTTCTCAAGGTTTCCCTTACTTGAGAAAGATTTTCCTCGTGTTCGACAGACTTTAGCGAAGTGTCCCTTTATTCCGCAGTGGTTACAAATAGCAGACTTCGCTGGGCACGGTTGATTGTCGTGTGGATACTTGAAACCGCAGTAATAACACTTTTTCTCAGTGGGCGTTGTCATAGCCATTGCATTAATTAGTTGCATTTATATTTTCCCTTGTTTTGAATTGTTCTTCGATCCCAACAGCTTGAGCTGAACTAGTTTCGTATTTTCGTCCATCGATTAACATGTTTGCCAAACTATATTTTGGGTCTTGTAGTGCTTTCTTTCGTAATCTTGAAGAAGTGCCGTTCGTTACAATCTGCATCTTAATTTCAAAATCTATGTTTGTAAATTCGCAATATTTTGCCAACCCTCGTAAACGCGTTTGAAATTCGTCGATTGACTCCTCTTTGCCTTGCGTCGCTTGTCTAAAAACATAGGTGTGATATATCACGTTTTTCTCTGGTTCAAAATACTCCGTCAACGCTTTCACTGCCGACTTAAAATCTTTGGTTTCACCCTCTTCTAGAGTCTTGAAAATTTCGTGTACTTCGGGCCCCGCCTGATACAATAATAAAGCTCGCCTTCTCGCATCGTCTTTAATATCTGCTGCGAGTAAATATGTGTTGAATCTCTCCAGCCATCGTGTCCATCTTGCACTTGTACTTGTACTTGTAGGATCACTCCTTGGTTCAAAAGCAGGCATAGGCTGTATGTTTTGTGCCGCCATTCTAGTTTTCCGTTATATTTTTCACGCTGTTTATTTTTACATCCTCGTCGCCATTATAGAATAGACTGAATGATGATTTATTACAAATGTCAATCAACGTTGTTACATGCTTCGAAGTTAATTATTAACTTATCGCATCTTACAAATACTACAGTTGGCAGTATAGCAACTGCGATTTTTACGATTTGATTTGTAGAATGTGGTCTATTTCATATTATGTTTATGAAAAACTAATCATTTTTGCTCAAAAGACTTTTAAAAGACATTTCATTCTGGATATTATTTCGCTTTTGCCAGCTGGCAAAATATCCATTCAATTATCTTATTTGATCGCCTAGATTTCAAGACTGGATGCCAAAGAAGGCAGAAATAGACAGTGATGACAACACGTTACTCGTGACAAAATGTGTACACGAAATGCAAGAAGTTCGGGTTATGGAATCAATTACGTCATTTGCGCGTGAGGATGATAACGGAAAGTATAATGCATTTTATTTGATGAACTTAAATATTGCGCCGGTCGAAGCTACTGCGCTATTTTCATTTCTTGGTTACATCAAGAACTTGCACGTTCTCCACATTGCTGGTTGCAGGATGGAGCATTTCGCACTCCGTGAATTGGCCAAGTTACTGCAGAAAGATAACGAAATTACCAATTTACAAATAGTGCGTAGTCGTATTTCAGATGATGGTGCTAAACACATTTTTGATGCGCTTACGAATAAAAATTGTGAAATCACACAGTTAAGCATAATGGATGATATATTAACTGCTGAAAGCGCTAAATATCTAAGTGATACTCTGAAGAGTGACAATTGTAAACTTTCTGGATTGGACATAAGTAACAATGAATTGGCAGATATTGGGGCAAATCATTTAAGCGAGGCCCTGAAGAGTGACAACTGCAAAATTACTGAATTATGCATAAGCTACAATGAAATTACCCACGCAGGTGCTAAATATTTAGGTGATGCTCTGAAGAGTGACGAGTGCAAACTTATAGCATTATATTTAAATGGCAATGAAATGAAAGATGGAGGAGCTAAATATTTTAGTGATGCTCTGAAGAGTGATAACTGCAAACTTGTTAAATTAGACATAAGTGAAAATGAAGTCACAGATGTTGGTGCAAAATACTTAAGTGATGCTCTGAAGAGTGACAACTGCAAACTAACTGAGTTAAACATGAGTGGTAATAAACTGACAGATGAAGTGCAAAGTATTTAAGGGATGCTCTGAAGAGTGGCAACTGCAAGCTTACTGCATTAGATGTAAGTCGTAATCAAGTAACACATGAAATTGGTTCATAAAATAGAACGAGCCATTTTGAATCGCAATATAGCCACTTGAATGCGAAAAATAATAATGGGAACAGGGAAGGACAATTACGCAGTACATTTTATTAATATTGCTCTTATTCGTGAAATCACGAAGTTCAAATAGGTCACGTCCGCTAACCTCAGCTGTTTCCGGTACGGTTTTTTTAGCTACTTATGATGCAACAATTGAATATGAACTGATGGTTACTAGATTGATGTTAATTCTTTTCAATATATAAATTAATCTTGTTTTTGGAGGCCAATAAATTATATTCTCCCTCATATTGCATGTTTATAACGCGTGTACATACATCTCTCACTAATCAGCGCTCCTCACATAAAAACATGCACCTGAAATTAGCTATTGGTTAGTTTATACCCAATTCCCAACTTTTAATAACTCGCATGCCTAGTTACTATTGTTCAAGTTTATGCAAGCTAGCATAAACATCACAAAGGTAAAATCTATATAGCCATTAGAATTACAGTATCTATATGAGTGAATCCAATGCTTAGTTAATTAACAACCGTTGCTCTATTCTCAGTGGCGTTGCCAAACCGACTGCTAGTCCCGCTAAAATATTGCCAGGTTTATAATCTATCACCACAATTAATTTCTAATTAAAGAAATGAATAATGATAATGAGTTTTTGAGAATTTGCATAGCGCGACTAAATCGTTGGACTGGCTACGTACGGCGCTGTCTATTCTATGCTCTGGTAAGCTAGAACTATAGTAACTGCTGTGACTTATCAAGAGTTTTGAATTAGGTGTCAACGAATTAGGTGTGAGCATAATATACGCTAGGCGATTTTATCTATTCACAGTAAGCTGGAAACCTCTATGAAGTGTAGGCGCGCTTACACTAACACCAACTATCACAGTTTTAAATGGTTGTTTTAAATCATGATAATCATGACTTAACCTGGAAAACTTTCGCGAAACAAGTCTGAGTCTCTGAGATTTCGCCATTCTCCGATATTTCGCCGCTTGCATGCAGATACGTCAGCGAGGTTCGCCCTAGAAGAGCCTGAAGAGAGTGTGTAAGGCTTCGATTCAATTTCGTTCCCCGAGCCTGCGATCCTCAGGAAGGAACGTGAGGCTCTGGGATAATCCGTTTCAGGGAGGAATCTTATTGGCCGTTGAAATGGAATGTGCAGTTCAATCTTAGCCAGGATCCCTGGCTTCCGGCAATGGATTATCCCAGAGTCTCACGTTCCTTCCCGAGGATCACAGGCTCGGGGAACGAGATTGGCTTCGATTTAGTACCCCCATCAGACTTCACGCGGACAGCCATGGTTGAAAACTTTTTAAAGTCACGTGCTCTATATAGGAGTTCCACTGGATGTCACATTTAAAGACCGGTCTTCCAAGATAAACACATTGTTGAATCTTGTTTTTGTTCATTTAATTAAAAGGTAAACGTCACGTCCACACATCGCATGGAGCTTTGGGCTTAATTTCCGCATTTAAGCTAGCCTGAGTGTCAGGCCTTGTTTTCCCTTCCTTCAATACGGGTGGGTGGACAGGAAAAGAGGGGCGGGTCCGCCTGGTACAAATACGTGCCTGGCAGCTTGTAAAAAAGCCAAAATGTGGCTTTTCACTTGATTGATCAATCAGAGAAAAATAATTTTAATCTTTCTTTTGATTGGTTGGTGTTAATCAGATTATACTACTGTTAATGGTCGATATATTTAATAGTTTTAACTGTCTTCATACATGTAGCTGCAGTATATTTAGACAGTACGTTGCACCAGTTCATAGTTCTTGAATCTGCTTCTACGCTATTAATTTGTGGCAACCTGGAAGAAATGAAATTGTCAAGCATGTAGCATATACATTTCACATGCATAGGTGGTCTTCAAATAGTCCCACGAGACTTTCATCACTTTTGTCTAAATGCCCTTCATGAGCACTCAATTGTACCATTGTGAAAACCACCTGTTATTTCTTCAAATGTAGGTTGTACTGTATGCCAATGTCGTTTCGATATTACATTTATTATTATACTCTTTTGCTTTGTTGCTGTTTAATTTTGAAGGAACGATTTATACCATAGTGAAGGCAAATGCGACTGTGCTACCAATACCTCACCCAAAGAGTTAATGTATTCAACATTTAAAGTTGTAATTATTTTTTTGTTAAATTTGTTTCTTTTCCCGTCGCGTGTCACCATTCTTTAGTAGTACTTAAGTTAATTAAGTTTATAACACTTGCAGTACGAATTTAAGATTTAGATCTTTCCATTCGGACGTGTCGTGAATTATGTTAGCATATATATTTCTCCACGGTTTATCAACTATATAAGGGACCGTTCATTAATTAAGGACCAGGGGGCTGGAGGAAAATTAGGGGGGTTGCCAAAACAATTTATGGTTAGAAGGGGGGGACTTTAAAGTATTTTTAGCATGAAAGGGGGGTTGCCAAAATTATTTGTGGTAATTATTAATATTTTAGGTTGACCAGTTTCAAATTTTAAGCCTTCACAACCAAAACCATTTAATGAAATGGTTTGCAATTTTAACAGTTTTAAAATGCGGATAATATAGCCTTGCAAAATTTGCAATTTTCAGTCATTTTGTATCACAAACGGGAAATTGATGCCCCAACACCCGATTGGGCTGTCAATTTCCCGTGCGTAATACAAAATGACTGAAAAACGGCAAATTTCGCAAGGCTATATTATCCGCATTTTACAACATTTCGCAACGAAACTTTGAAATATTACTAATTTTGTGATGCACTTTCAAGCTGTGATGAAATTTTTGTCTAGGTAAAAATTTAGTCTACAATGCAAATGTTCCATTCATAATATTTGACATTTTAATTTCGCGCATGCCTCCCAAAATAACATGTCTGAGAAGATGGGAAAAGACTTGTTTGCACCATGACAATGCACGTCAATGGATTTTGTTTCGCTAAAACACAATACGTTATTCAGTGCTGTACTGGAATATCCAAAACACGAATATTTACGAATTAGTGTAAATGGAAACCTAAGAAAGGGACCCAACTACAGGTAATGGGGAATTGCAAAAGACAGAACTTTTCGGGGGGATCCAGGTGTCCTTATTCAGAACGATTTCGAACTTATTAGCCTCCAGAGGTTGAGTTCTTGCACTTTCAGACACAAATTTTGATACATTCCATCTCAGGTAAAAGATTGAATATTAGGCCAAATAAAATGCGATATAAAATTCGAAAGCTTCAAATAAAAACAGGCGTAACTTATTGTCTTCATTGTGCATATAGTGCTTTTGAACAATTTAAACATAATTTCCGATAAATTACGCACTCCTTTCACCAATTAATATCACCTGCAGGTCGTTAAATATTAAAGAAAATAATACTGCACAAAATCTCATTTATCGCTGCAAAATCCAATTTATCACCGCATAAATTGGTTATTGCTGCATCTTGCATCATCGTCAGTCTTTGCTTAAAGTCATTGTAAATTAATAAAATCCGCTAAATATAGTAGATAAGAAAAAGAGGGGCACAACGATAATGTACTGGTTTCCTTTCTGGTTTGCCCATAAATTCCATCTCATTCAAAGATGGCGGGTATAGGTTTGCTTCGCCGGGCTCTGTCTGTAAATATTTGTCTCATTCTATGCTGTCTGAAAATATTTGTCACATTCAATGCATTTTTATTATTTTTAAGAACTCAAATTATAGTGCTAGTTTGAATAGCGCTATCTTAAATTATAGTGATATATACAATTTTAATGATAATGATATATCACAACCCAATATGTTAAAATGGCTAATTCGTAAACTTAGATACATTACTAAATCCATTGAACCAGGATGACAATTAATTTATGAAACATGACAATTTATGTGAAACATGCATATCTACATACTTAAAGGGATGTAAAATAGAATATAGTAGGCTAACTATAGACCGATATCTGTCATATCGGTAGTTACGAAAGTGTTTAATTAAAAAAACTTGTCTCTAGGCAGTTTTTGGATACGTAGAATCTAACCACTTGCTGTCAGACAGTCAAGTTGGTCAAAGCACATGGCCAAAGGAGAAAGAATTCGATCCTAACTTCAACCTCGTCCCCAGGCTCTTTCCCTCTTGTGGAGGAAAGACCATGGCTGGAGCCAGTCCCGTGAATCCCATATTTTGGGGGTAAATTTGAGATTGATCTCAGGAAGGGGTAGTACAGAAGTCTGTTTGTTGCGTTGAAAAATGCAACTTTATGTGCTATAGTTTCGGGTGATAAAAATGTAATTTGCAACAAGAGATCGTTTAATTTGGAACAGTTACTGTTCCAAATTCGTACTCACCATGACAAGGCTTGCGAAGTTGAGCACGCATCGCCGTAGAAACATACAAGTCTTCTACACTAATTGATCATAGGCGCACCGGGCGGGGGGGGGGGCGGTAGCCCCCCAGTTTTTTGGGCAGTCGGGCAATATTCGATTAACAGTCGGGCAATTTTGGGTTGTTATAAAAAAAATCGGACAAATTCTGTCATTTTTTTCGAAAATTTAGTCAAATGTAGTGTTTTTTTTGAAAATTTATGTGATGCTCCGAAAATTTTGGTTAGTCCGGAAAATTTTTTTGACCCCTTAAGTGGTACACTGACCGAATTTTTTTTGGCGACGGGGGGGGGGAGGAGGTCGCCAAAACAATTTTCCGGGAAAAAATTTTTGGTACTAGTCGGGCAAAATCACGAAAAGTCGGGCAATTTTCTTTCCGCCCCCCTAATTTTTTCCTTCCGGTACGCCCATGTGATTGATTAAACGATATAAAATAAACGATACGGCTGTTTATACTCGAAGTATATCCTGTCCGATATTCATAAACAATAGTGCTATCTTGACTGTGAAAGCACAGGATTAAAACCCGTTATGGATTGTAAAACTCCTTTCATTTACATTGCTGAAACTCAACGATCAAGAATGATTATGTCGAAATATAGCTATTTGTATCACACGAATGCCAAGACTCCTCCGTGCGTGCGGTACAACTTGAATATTTAGCTACTATGACATATGCACCGGACACTGGTATTGTTCTTTAAGGCCCATCCAGACCGGACGCGATTTGGCAACGCAACGCGAATTTTCAATTTTCAATGACATTTAACTTTAATATTTTTCAATGTTTTTTCAAATATTCGGAACCTATTTGGTCTGCATTTGGTCTGAAAATTTTTATCCGTTGACATTTTTTTTTTCTTTTGGAAAACTGAAAACTCACGTCGTGTTGCCGAATCGCGTCCGGTCTGTGTGGGCCTTTATAGTAAATTATTTCATATTTCATGAATTACAATAATTTACAGCAGGTACATTATAAATCTCATAAAGACCTTTCATTGCCATTGCCATTGCCATTGCACATTCAGGGCTTTATTTGAAGAATAACCGGCTTAAAATCCAGCTTCTTTCGGCTAGTGTCCAACAAGGGGCTACGACCTACACAGTCGCTTTTGAGACCTCTATTTAACAAAATTTATACCGTTTCCATATGACACCAATTGCATGGCATATTATAAGAATATTATAAATATTTGAACCAGATCCTCAACAGAAACTGCGCCCGAACTCCGAGAGAATAAAAGGGCAAATAGTTCAAAGCATACGATCATATGTTTTCGTTGCCTGATTTCCTGACTTATCTGTTGCTATAAGAATCTGCGCTTTAGCATGTTTGTATAATTTAAAAGCAAACAGAAACCAATTTAGCAAGTACTTTGAAGTATATTTGATTCTCAAAGAGGATTATACAGAACAGCCACTCCTTGCAATCGAAGTGTAAGTCAGGAAGTGGAAACATATAATATGAGACTTTTCCATCCCCCTCCTCAGCTATCAATTTTCAATGGGTCACGTGACCAGCTCCAGTCAGAGTCTTTCCTCCACAAGAGGGAAAGAGCCTGGGAACGAGGTTGCCCTAACTTCTGCCTTAAGACGCAATTCCAGTCCTCGCACGAAGCTCCTCGCAGCTCGCTGCGTGTGCTTGCATCTAATTAAAATTAACTCTTAAGCATTGTGATTGGATGAAAGTCCTCATGCATGCGAGGAGCCTCGTGCCAGGACTGGAATTGCGCCCTTAATTAAGCGATGTACCAATAAATGTATAAATAAACATGGAAAAGATGTCCTAAACGGAATTTTTTTTCGATTTACAAAGGGCCTTCGATTGCGCGGGCGATACGATTCTTTTCGGAACGTTAGCCAATTTTGGCTGTACAGAGACCACTACCCTAAATTGGTTCAAATCGTAATTAGCAAATAGACAGCAGATGTGCAAAGTATATCAAACAATATGCAAATGTTGAACAATTTGTTGCGGAGTACTACAAGGCTCAAACTTGGGCCCAATTTTTTTTCCTATTCATCAAAACAACTTGCCTAACTATTTAAGAACAACAACAGCCAGCAGCATAAATTCATTAATTTAAATAACCTTACTAGATCTGCCAGTACATGCCTTTCCTTCCACATCGAAATATATATTCATTGTTCATCGATTCTATAAATGCTTAAAGTTATACAAAAACATTTATGTAAATATGTAGAACCTAAGGCCGCTCGATAGGCAAAAATGGTTCCAAGCAGGGCAGACATACCAATTGTGCTAGACTTTCTCGTTTCCGTCTCTCCACAGCGTGCTCAGTGTCGCCGAAGCGAATGGTACACTAAGAAATACGCTGATCATGAAGCACATGTTATTTATATCATCCCAAAGAAGAGTCGTGTAAAATTGGTATTACTTTTTGGTGTTACTAAATACGGTCTGGTGTTACGAAATTTGTTTTTTAATATTATTTTCTCCCCAATGTACAGATTTTGATAATTACAAAACAACTTTCTTTTAATGATATTGGGCTATGGACCTACTAGAAACCTCTACAAACTTTTTGGTTTAGGCCCCTAGTTGTAGTTGTGGTTCATAATGAGGTTAATTAATATATTTACAGTTAAAGATAATAAAATTAAATGGCCGAGGATCAAGACTTACTGAGCTCAACGAAACATGAGAGTTCAAGACTGTTTTATAATGATATTAACTTTATCAAGTTATTAAAAGATCAGTCACACTTGTTTTATGATGGGACTCGAGTTATTTGGACAGGGGAGCTACATTTGTTAAAGAATTTCGTCGAAATTACTCTCGGTTGGGCAGGGAACTGGACTTCTCCTGGCGGCAAAGCCAAACAGTTCAAAGGTCAATACCATGATCGTACTATGACTTGGTATCCAGGCAAGCTAAACTCCTGTTCCTCGGAAAGGATGGAGACATGTTCAAAGAATTTCTGGTGAGTGTTTTGGATTCAAATTGCTTGGAACAAACTAAGGTGTATGCAGACTGTTCATTCCCTACAGTTGCAGATGCGTTGCCAGAAACCGAGCCTCCTTTGGCCGAATCAATCAAAACTGTTAGCGAAAACAGAATTGATTTTAACCCATCTTCCCCAGAGTATCATACTTGCGCCTGTAGATCTTATACTGCAAATCTAAAAGACGTCAAATTAGACATTGCAGTTATACAAAAACAAATAGAATCTATTAACCGGGTCATAGATTCGACAAACGATATTATAGAATCTATGAGTGTTATATTGAACCCCTCAGGCACGGAAATCCATCATATATCATACGACCTTAGAGTTGAAACATTGCTCAGAGAGTTTTCGTCAATTTTAAACGAGAAAAATAGAGAATTGGAGCAACGAGATAATATTATTAATAGTATTCAAGAAAAATTAATCAAGGTCGATAATGAATATCAAAATGTTGAATTCCTAGTTGCAGAACGCCGTGAACAAGAACAATGCCAACACAATAGAAATCACAATGGGCTGATCCATAATGAGAGCAGAAGCATTTTCCCTAAAATCCAGGCGGGTGATACCAATATAAATATGCAAAATCAAGAAACTAGTGAAAATTTACACCCGGTCAATAACAAAGAAATTGTCCAAATTAAAGCCCTTCCACAAAAGATAAAATCCGGATTTAAAGATTCGGTCGAGCTGAAGCTACAAATTAACCTGTGCCACACGAACCACCTATCTCTAGATCTAATGAACGTTCTCAGCAGGTTTTTCTGCCCTTAATGAATAGCATACCTGTAAGTCTATTACAATTGAGTAAACAACAGCCGCAAAATTCATATAAGGACATAGCTAACCCCACATCTGAATATATTGGTGAAAGAAAAATGCAATCTAAAGCTACTAAAAACGATCGGAAGTTATTTCCACCTTTCAAACTCAGTTCACACGAACCGCAACCACGACGTCTACAACCGCAAATGAATTATCCTCGGACTCGCCCTTGTATTAAACCACGAGAGCGGCATAATTACCGAGTAACTACCCCACGATGACATTTCAAACAAAATAATCCCCATGATTCGGTGAATAGGCAGGCAAATTTTCGGAAGAGCCGCTTAAAGAGGGTCCGGGAGTCCCAATCCCATTTCCCACCTGAAATTTTGGCAAAATCCCAGTCCCAGTTGGATTTTTATTAGAAATCCCAATCCCAGTTATTGAAATCCCAGTCAATAAAAAACCCTTTCAGTGGTTTCAAAACATTTCATAGTAGACGTTGCGTTGGGAAGAGTAGGAGTTGCAACCGAAGGCCGAACTTCGCAACTTGGGGGATCTGACGGTATGCTCAGGGATCACTGAGCCATTTTTGGATTAGAGGGGGCAATAGCGAACGCTGAAGGTCTCAGTTTGTTAGTGGGGTCCTGGGCCATGCTCCCCGGGAAATTTCGAAATCTGAGATCTCACAGAGCCCCGGAAATGCAATCAAATTTACTAGTTGCTGTTAAAAAGTTTCTTAATGAGCAAATCTTAATTAATCTAATATTACCCGTCATTTATTTAGTCCGGCAACCAGAAATAGATTGAATACTTGGCTATATAAGTTATAAATATATTGTTAACTGATCTGAAAGAGTTCAGTATTCTTATTTTATAATAATCACATATGTATGGAAAATTATTGGTGGGCTAAAGTCCCCCCCCCCCCTGTTCCACAGTCCCTGATATTGCTTGAATTTGCTTCCAGAAAATTTTGAACTTCCAGACTCTAGAAGATGCATTTTCCAGCATTTGTTTTTGAGACACAAAAAATCACATTTTAAATGTCTAAAACACTGTTAAATTTATGTTATTATAATTAATGCCTATAACAACAATGTCAAATAACAATAACGACTACATCTCCGCTGGCTTTCTTTGTCGTTTTTCCGCCATTTTGTTTTGTTCTTGGAGACGAATGTGACATCTTATACATAAAGTACAACCTGTTAGAAACCGCTACCCAGAAAACCTCTGAGCCTGTCGTCAACTTGACTTGCTCCAAGTCTCTGTTTCATTGTCATATCGATCCACTATAGTGCACATTACATGACGTAGCATGGAGAGGCGGAGCGAGAAAGCCGAAGACTTGTCAACTTCGGAAAATCTCGGTTCAAAACTGAACCGAAAATGCAAGACTTGCTTTATTTGTTTTCCTTCAATTTCTTTCTGTATTATTTACTATAATGGAACTCATGTTATTTACACTGTGCTAGATCAATACACATAAACACTGACAGAAAACAATTAAAGCAAGTCTTGCATTTTCGGTTCAGTTTTGAACCGAGATTTTCCGAAGTTGACAAGTCTCTCTTTCTCGCTCCGCCTCTCCATGCTACGTCATGTAATGTACACTATAGTGGATCGATATGCCAATGAAAGAGAGACTTGGAGCAAGTCTAGTCCTCAACACGCAAGAGACGTATCAAAGCTTCTAATCCAGTAATTTGTGACTGTGGCTATGTTTTTGACGAAATTCCGTGGGAAATACCATATATATTGGAAACACACGCTTGTTTGCTCACAAAACATTTTGTGAACACTTAACTGGAATTTATAGTTACTTACAAAAGTGAAAGTAGCCGTCGCAAATGGAAGAGTTGCAGTCGGATGCGACGGGCGACGGCTTATTTTGAAACCACTGCCTTTATTTATCGTTAGAATAAACAGTTTTAAGACCTTTTAAGCAAGTGGCGGGCACTTTATGAAATATTAGGGGGCTCGTACCGAAGGCACGGAAAATTTTTAAATTTGAATCCCGGAAATGGCATTTGCAGCATTCTGAGACACGCATAATCATAAAACCCAGAATTCCGGGCGCCAGAGTATGCTTGTTCGCAGGTAGTGCTGTGAATAATATAGTTAACAACAAAAATCATGACCAAAGACATCAAAAACGGATCAAAATTGTATTTTAAAATACTCAAAACGCAGAAAAATTGGGAATCGACTCGCATTACCTCAATCCCATTCCCATTTTTGAGGACTTCATTTCCCATTCCCAGTGGCCAAATCCCAGTCCCAGCAACCCAAATCCCATTTTCCCAGTCTAAATATAGATAATCCCAGTTCCCATTTTACCCCTTCAGGGCCCTCCTTAAAGCACAGACCCCCTAGCTGGAGGGAATTTCTTGTCTTAGTCAGCCAAATAACCAGATCGCAATAACGAAGGTGAATACGATCCCAGTTATAATAAGTAACCACTGCACTAGAACTTTTCAAAATAATTTCAATATGGAGGAACCCTTTCACTCCTAGAAAGCGCAACCCGGCTAACTTAGTTCCAATACCGAAATGCAACAAACCGGTTCCAACCAGATCCCTCCCAAATATTATGCTTCTTAATGCTCGATCAATCCTTAATAAAGTCGATGAAATATCTATTTGCCCCAAAATTCTCAACCCTGAAGTCCTATGCATCACGGAAAGTGGCTGAATGACCACATTCCAGATGAAGTTGTTCAAGTGAGTGGCTACACAATTATCCGGAATGATAGAGCAAACGGAATTCGCGGCGGAGGAGTCTGTATTTATATACGGGAGCACCTACTTTACAAAGTGCGCGTAGACTTGTCACATTGTTCTATCGAATGCCTTTGGACTACAATCCGACCTAAGTGGCTCCCAAGACGTATTTCACGAATAGCGATAGCAGTTGTATACCTCCCACCTCTTACTTCAAATTCAATAAATAGAAACATTTTACGATTATCTCTGCTATTGTGTCGATACACTGGTTTTAGAGAGCACAGAAACAGCCTTCATAGTGACTGGTGATTTTAATCCAAATAGTAATAATTTCAACGAAAAACGTCTGAAAACTTTGTGTGGTCTGAAACAAGTCGTCCGCGTCCCTACGAGAGAAAGTGCCATTTTGGATTTAATTTTTTCTAATGTTGCATCCTTTTACTCCAATCCCTTAGCTTTAGCTCCATTAGATTCATCGAATCATGTTATTATCCAGTGGAAGTCCAAAGACGTCGAAAAATCTATTAACCGAATAAGGAAAGTGACGGTGAGACCTATTAAGGATTCTAGTTTAGAAGCCTTAGGGCAGTGTATAAACTCATATGATTGGTCTATAGTAACAAGGTTGCCAACGGTCAACCAAAAGCTGGAAATGTTCACGCAAGTATTTAATAGCAGTGTAGATACCTACTTCCTTAAACGTAGCGAAAAATTCCACCAAGAGGATAAACCATTTATAACAGGAAGAATTAAAACATTAATAGTGAACCGAGATATAGCTTAATTGTGGGAAAGGAGATAAACAGAAATTCAAATCGTTGCGTAACAAAGTTCGCGAAGAAATTAAAAAGGAAAAACAAACGTTTTACCGGGTCAAAGTAAAACCATTACAGTCTAATAACCCAAAAGATTGGTAGGAAAATATCAAACGTATATGTGGAATAAGCGAGAACCAGAAAATCAACCTTGTCAACCCAGGCTCTGGTGAACCTCTAACCTCAGAAGAATCAGTAGAGTGCATTAATGATTATTTCATTAGCTGAACTAAGGACTATAATAAAAAATCAAACGATCTACAACAGCGTGGAGACAATCTTGATCTTCCTACCATTTCAAGGGAATGCATTGCACAAAAGCTGAAAGAAATCAATATCAATAAGTCCTCAGGTCCCTTTGATCCACCAACGAAAATTATCAAACACTTTGCGGAGCAGTTATCCGGTCCACTAACAGACATTATTAACACCTCCTTTCAAGAGAAATGTTTCGGGGAGATTTGGAAAGCATACAAGTGCTGCCTTATCCCAAAGTCAAATCCATGCACTACTGTAGGAGATATTAGACCAATTGCCCTTACAAGTGTATTTTCAAAAAATCAAGAATCATTTGCACTGGATTGGATGTTGGAAGATTCAAGGGACTGTCTCAGCGAACGTAAATTTGGGGGAATTCCTCGTTTGTCGTCTGTACTAGCCCTCCTCGTAATGCTACACACATGGTTTGTCGCCTTGGAAAAACCCAAATCGGTAATTAGAATCGTTTTTTTTTGTGTTTTTTTTTTCCAAGGCATTTGACCTTATAGATTATAACATCATGCTGAATGACTTTAAATCTGTTGGAGTTCGTCCCGCTTTACTACCATGGTTAGTCTCGTGCCTATCCGACCGGTCACAGAGGGTGAACATAGATGGATCGACATCGTGTTTTAAAAAGATCAACGCAGGGGTGCCTCTCAAAGAAGTAAAATCGGCCCGATAGCATTTATCACCAAAATTAATAAACTACCTGCAGATGGCACTCACTGACAAAAAATCAGGAAAAGAACATGTTTCAATTTTTATGGACGATACTACCCTATCAGAGGTTCTCAATATAAATAACCCTGAAACCCACCCAGTGAGCAACATCCAAGTAAATGTTGAAAGAATTTCAAAGGTTGAACTTGAAAAAAAACTAAAGAAATGGTAATCGACCTTCGAATTATGAAATCTGAAATACCAGTGATTACGATAGACAACATTCCTATTGCAAGAGTACAATCCCACAAGCTATTAGGCAAGGCCTACTCTGGGACCTTAACTCGCCTTAACTCGCCCTAACTCGCCTTATCTCGCCCTACCTCGCAATAGAAATTGATCGAATTTTGCTTAACTCGCCCAATCTCGCCTTGAGAAGTTGACAGAATTTTGCTTAACTCGCCTAAACTCGCCCTATTTTGCAATAAAAACCAGCACAGTTTCACGTCAGTAAAACACAAATACTG